ACCCCCTCCCTGAGCCCCTTCCCTGAGCCAGCATCCCTTTCTCCATCTCCTGCTGCACCCAAATTCCCTCCCAGAGCTTGCACCTTTCACCCCTTCCCACACCCAAATCCCTCATTCCCACTCCAGAGCCCGCACCTCCTGTCTCAACCCAGTGAGAGTGAGTAAGGGTTGGGGGCATCAAATGATGGAGAGGAGGGAAACAGAGAGGGCAGGGCCTCTAGAAAGGGGTGGGATCTTGGGGCTTGCCCTGAATTTAAAAAGTGAGCTTGAGTATAAAAAGATTGACAGTGTCTCAGGAAGCACACTGGCTATTTTGGAGAGGGAAGGAGCAGTGTGCGTGCTTCCTGAGACGCTGGATTTAGCGCACAGCTGCAGGACCCCCAGGTACTGGCCGAACTATCCCTCTCCCCTCCCCTGGCCAACAACCCCCTCCCTGAGCCCCTTCCCTGAGCCAGCATCCCTTTCTCCATCTCCTGCTGCACCCAAATTCCCTCCCAGAGCTTGCACCTTTCACCCCTTCCCACACCCAAATCCCTCATTCCCACTCCAGAGCCCGCACCTCCTGTCTCAACCCAGTGAGAGTGAGTAAGGGTTGGGGGCATCAAATGATGGAGAGGAGGGAAACAGAGAGGGCAGGGCCTCTAGAAAGGGGTGGGATCTTGAGGCTTGCCCTGAATTTAAAAAGTGATCTTGAGTATAAAAAGATTGAAGACACTAAGGGAAACAATTTTTAATTTTCACATTTTATGCTGTGAAATGAGAATATATATATATATATATAGGGGTACCAGTTTGGTTGGTGGAGAGGGCAAAGAACAATGTAGAAGGCAATGGAACTTTTTTCGAACTTTCTACCACACTTGTGGGAGTATTTAGGATTGTTCTGTCATGGGGGACTAGGTAACCAGTCTTGCACGGTTACTGATGCTGGAGTATATATAAGGTAGTACGTAATGGTAGTAGTAAATAAACGTTTGCAATAACTTATCAAAGTAACTTGCGTCCAATTGGGAAAATTAGTTTTATAGATTTTTGTAATTAATATATTATGGTTGCGATTAAGAAAAGGAAGATTACATTAGGTATGGCTTCACTGTCACAGAAAAAAACGGAATCGATCGTCCTCAATGAATAGTATACCACACAGTTCTTAGCAATGACACCTTGAGACCTACTCATCTTGAGCAACACTTGACAAAGAACTACAGTGCTTTGACAGAGAAACCAAAAGAGAGCTTTTTGCTGCTAAACTTCAAAATTTGTAACACATGAAGCTGGACACTACTGGAGTTTTTCATCAAGCATCAGCCAAAGTGGAAGAAGCATCTTCTGAACCGTCATTGCTCATTGCTCATGGCTAAAGCCAAGAAAGCACACATAATCAGAGACACTCTTGTGCAGCCTTGCTTGTGCTTGGTGTGGAAAGCAAGAAAAAACTTTCTGACAATTCCGTGAAATGTCCCATCAATGAGTTGGTGAAACATCTTAAACTTCAAGTTGTGGAGGCAGTTTTGGCTTCTCCTTTTTTCGCAATTCAGTGCGATGATATCACTGATGTAGCCCAGTGCTGTCAGTTGCTTGTCTACTTTCGATTCATTAACAATAGAACTGTGAAAGAACAGCTGCTTTTTTTGAAGGAATTGATGACCACATCAAAGGCTTCTGATATTATGAAAACGATTTCCAATTTTTTTTATGAAAATAGACTTTCATGGGGAAAACTGGTTGGTGTATGCACAGACAGTGCACTAGCAATTCTTGGCTTTTGCTCTGAATTTGTGATATTGGTGAAAGACAAACATGCAGCCATAACCACAACTCACTGTGTCATACACAGACTAACATTGGCTGCTAAAACCCTTCCAGTTGACCTACGTGACTCATTGACTTTGGCCATCAAAATTGTCAATTTTATGAAGAACAGTGCTTTAAATACGAGACTTTTTTATGCTCTTTGCATGGATTTGGGAGCGGATCATAAAACTCTTTTGTTTCACATGGAGGTATGATGGCTTTCCAAAGGTAACATGCTTTTGAGATTATTCAAACTGAAAGACAAAGTGGAAATTTTCCTCCAGCAACAGAAGAAAGAAAAGTTATATCATGAATTTACAGACCAAACATTTCAACTTTCACTGGCATACCTCGTGGGCATTTTTTGAACCTTTGAACAATCTCAATTTGAAGCTGCAGGAAAACATCAAACAATCTCAATTTGAAGCTGCAGGAAAACAACACTGCAAGCATTATAGCGCACCACAATGCCATCAAAGCATTTACGAAAAAAATCCAGCTTTGGAAATGTCAGACACAAGCTCAGATGCCTAACTTTTAATCTTTTCCGACATTTTCATTACTCACTGAAAATGGACGTTTCCAAGAAGTTTGTAAAGAGGATGTGAAGAACAAAATTGTGTTTCATTTGGACTGCCAATGTTTCTGGCAACCCCATTCATAAATTAGTATGAAATCCATTCAACGTTGATGTCAATTCGTTGCCAGAAGTATTGCAAGAATAAGCACTCAAAATAAAATATGATTCAAGCGTGAAAGATAATTTTGAAAAAACAAGCTTGGAGGAATTTTGGATAAAATATTTTCCAATGTACTCAAAAATTGGAGAAGAAGTGCGATGTATTATTCTTCCATTTTTGTCAAATGGAAAAAAAAGCTTTTCAAGTTTTTAGTCACATTAAAAACAGAACAAAGAAATTGACTGGATGTCAAAAATGATTTACGTTCACACTTTCATCTTTCAAACCTAGGATTTCCCAACTCATGAAGAAAATGCAGCATCATCCTTCACATTAAATTAAATTGTTCTGCTATTATGTTAAATTACATTTTTATTAAATTTTTGTGCCAAGAAAAATATTTGTGCATAATTTTAATTTTAAATTATTTTTCTACAAGTTTTTGTATTTATTTTTTATTTTAAATTACAAATTGAATTTTTAGTTAAAAGCAGAGGTAGGATAATGGTAAAGAAGAGGTGGGGGGGCGTGAAGGTTTCTCAAAAATCAAAAGGGGGGCGTGATGCCGAAAAGTTTGGGAACCACTGCTCTAGGGCTTATCTCTGTTTTGCTGGGGTGACCTATATCCTAGAGAGAAAAAAGCTTTTCAAGTTTTTAGTCACATTAAAAACAGAACAAAGAAATTGACTGGATGTCAAAAATGATTTACGTTCACACTTTCATCTTTCAAACCTAGGATTTCCCAACTCCTGAAGAAAATGCAGCATCATCCTTCACATTAAATTAAATTGTTCTGCTATTATGTTAAATTACATTTTTATTAAATTTTTGTGCCAAGAAAAATATTTGTGCATAATTTTAATTTTAAATTATTTTTCTACAAGTTTTTGTATTTATTTTTTATTTTAAATTACAAATTGAATTTTTAGTTAAAAGCAGAGGTAGGATAATGGTAAAGAAGAGGTGGGGGGGCGTGAGGGGTTCTCAAAAATCAAAAGGGGGGCGTGATGCCGAAAAGTTTGGGAACCACTGCTCTAGGGCTTATCTCTGTTTTGCTGGGGTGACCTATATCCTAGAGAGAGGCCCCTGTGGTAAATCGGTAAAAAACACATTTGCTCTTCAGGTAATAAAAATAACCCCATAGTCACATAACTCTTACTTGGTGTTGGTGAGGCCACATCTGGAGTATTGCATCCAGTTCTGGGGCCCCCACCTCACAAAGGCTATGGACCCTGGTTCCACAAGGCTACCGGTAAAAAATGGCTGTTGACCAAGGGGAAGCAATGCTGGGTCTTAGTGCTCAACCGCTCCCCTGTTCCTATCCCTGCCACTCACTCTTAAAGGGGACTTTCTACAAGTTTTTGTATTTATTTTTAATTTTTAACTAAAAATTCAATTTGTAATTTAAAGCAGAGGTTCCAAAGAGAATGGAGAGAGGCTGATCTCAGTGGTGGCAGATGGCAGAACAAGAGCAATGGTCTCAAGTTACAGTAGGGGAGGTCTAGGTCTGATATTAGTAAAAATGATTTCCTGAGGAGGGTGGGGGAAGCACGGGGATGGGTTCCCTAGGGAGGGGGTGGAATCTCCATCCCTAGAGGTTTTTAAGTCTCAGCTTGACAAAGCCCCGGCTGGGATGATTAAGTTGGTCCTGCTTTGGACAGGGGCTGGATCTGATGCCTCCTGAGGTCTCTGCCAGCCTTGGGTTTCTCTGAACTCAGACCTTGCTGTCCAGTCCCAGGTGAACTTCATCCAGAGGGGATCTCTGCTGAATGTCCAAAGAAAGCCGACATCTTTCCTAATGGATTGTGTAACTATTGGATGTCATCTTCTAACACTCTTTAATGAAGCAAGGGGCTGATAATCACTTACCTTTATTTCTGTACTTTGCAGGGAAATGTAATGGAAAATTTTATAAGTTTCAAATGGCCTTTTTTTCACCTGGGTCTTAGGTGGGGGACAGGGCAGCCTCAGGTGCTTGGGTGAGGAGGAGGGGGCTGTGGAGTGACAAAGAAAATGATTCTCCCTTGTTCTTTACTGTTTTCACATCCCAAGTGCCAGCCCGCCAGGGCCAGGGAGAGGACGTTGTGGAGTCCATGTAGGTGCTGTACAGGGGTTACAGTCGCCCCCTCAAGGCGAGTTCATAGGTCACTGTGGTTAGAGCTACACAGCAGTTGCACATGCACAGCGGAGCCCTGCCAACAGACTCAGGACTCGTAGGGTCCCGGAGATCAAGCCCAAATTTTACAGCTCCTGCCCCATGTCCCGGGAGCCTGTGTCAGCTGACACGGGCCGGTTGTGGATGGTCAGTTGCTGTGTGGCCGTCTCATGGGGCCTCACTGGTGCTCCATGCTCTGTCCGTGGGTTGGCCAATGGACTCTTCTCCCCAGACCTCTGGAGCTGCCCCGCCCACAGCCTGGATCAGTGGGGTTGGGAGGGGCAGGCGGTCTGGTGGGAGGCTGGGGTTACATCCGTCCTGTGAGAGGGGCACTTAATGAGTGTGTGTGCTTCTCTTCTTGTCTTCCCTAGGGGAGCTCCACACAGAACTTGGTAAGTTCCCTGTTCCTCACATGCAGCCTTTTCTGTGGTGTTGAAACGATCCCTGGGTCGATCGATCTGTCGCCCTCTGCCAGGTGGGGGAGGATGGGGGAGCAACGAGCTCTGGGTCCAATGCCAGGGGGATTCCCTGAGCAATTCCAGATAGAAACGGGCTGAGACCCAGCCCCTGATCTGGGAGAATTCTCACCCCTGGGCCCCTTGAGGGAAACAGTCTCCCCGGGCTGGATTCCGTCGCTGCCTTGCAGGTTAGAGCCAAGGCCTTAGTCTGGCCATAGCTCGGCTTCTGGCACATGAGTCCCTGTGGCCGTCGGTGTCACTATTCTGTCCCTCCACCCCCAAGTCCAGCCCCTGCTCCACCCCATCCTGCCTCCTCTTATCCTTTCACTGCCCTCTCCCTTCCCTTAAGCCCTTCCCCCAGGGGAATGTACGGGGCACCTGCAGACTGACAGGCAGGACCAGTAGATGCATGGAGATACCTTGCTACCTCACCCAGAGCCCTGCCACGGGGGTGCCCACTGGCCACGAGGAGGGCATGAGGCCTGGCACTGGCCCGAAGGTAAATTGACTCTGTTCCGCCTGCTTTAGATGCTGGTGCTACCTTGTCCCCATAACCAGCCAGGGTCTGAGAGGGTTGGACCTTTGCATCTCTTCGCCAAAGGGGGGCTGGGCACATTCGATAGAACGAGGGGCAAAGGACTTACCTAGCGCCGCAAAACGTGCCCGTCTTCCTGCATCACATGGCTCTTGTCTGGGCTCAGCGTAAGGTGACTGCTCCTCATCCCAGAGCCCCAGGGTAGCTGCCTTTGGTACCTGAGTTCTTATCTCTCCACCTGTGTTTGGTTTCAGCCTGGAGAAGAAACATCGTCTGCCCAGGTAACTACAGCTCCTGTGGAATCAGCCCCCAAATCTCCCCTGCCCTGGGACTGCCCGTCTCAGGCAGAGCCTCTCTGCACTGGCCCCTCGAGGCGGGGGCGGCTCTGTGCCGAGGGGGAAAGGCACAAAGGCTGCTGGGACCAGCAAGGCTGGTTTGGGCTCCTGAAAGGGTTCTCTGGGCGCCCTGGGAGCCCGAAGGCTTCTCAGTGAGATGCTGTTCTTGGCCCTGGGGGGCTGAAGTTCTGGGAGGGCAGGTGGGCAAAAGGCTGGGCCAGGGCTCGGTGCTTGTTTCAGTTCCCAAAAGCCCATTTCTGAGAGAGGGAGAGGACAAGGCCATGTCTCCCGTCCAGCATTGGGCACAGTCACGTCCGGTTCTGACCCAGTGCCGGGGAACAGACAAAGTTCTCAACAAGGATCCCTCCATTTGAGCCCCAGCGAGTGGCCTCCCTCTGCACCACCCTGACCTCTGCTATTGCCCTTGCTCAGAGGAGCTCTCACCTCTGATCCCCTGTTGCTTTCAGGGCCGGGAAGCGCTGAGCCGCCTCTACTGGAAGGTAAGTCAAGTTTGGGGTCCAATGCCAACTGCTGCCAGAACGATTTGCTTCTGACTGTGACTGGGGGAGGGGCAGATTTCGCAGCTGGGGACGAAGGCAGGTTGTGCAGACACGGCCTGACATGCAGCCCTGCGTCCAGATTCCAGGGCGTCCAGATTCCAGGCCCTGTCCCTCCCTGGTCCGTGCGACCGACAGAGCTTCCTGGGCGCACACCCAGCCTGGCTGCACAGGGCCAAGAGAGCTCTCCTCCTACCCCCCCGCTCCCCAGCTATTTCCTCCTGCCCAGTGGCAAAGGCAGGGGAGTGCACAGAGGAAGGCGCATCAGGATGGGGAAGGAGCCAGCAGACTGAGGGAGGGGGCAGCATTTGGAGGGGGCTGGTAGGAACAGGAGGGTGGGGAGAGCAGGAGCCAGTGGGGAGGCAAAAGGTGTGGGGGTAGGTGGAAGGGCTGGTGACAGCAGCTGGTGAGGAAGTGGGTCTGGCCCACGAAAGCTCATCACCTAATAAACCATCTCGTTAGTCTTTAAAGTGCTACATTGTCCTGCTTTTTGTTTCAGCTACACCAGACTAACACAGCTACATTTCTGTCACAAACTCCCTTGAACCTTCTCTTGCTGCTGCCCTGCTCCAAGGCGGGTTGCTTGGGGATCCCCCCTCCCTGCCCCTCTTCTGGCTCTCCCTCCAGCCTCCTGCCCCTTCTCCCCCACATGTCCCTTGCTCTCCCTCAGGCCAGGCCAGGGATGGGGGCACCTGGTCTCTCCCCACAGCGACAGTCTCTAGCCCAGGAAGGCGGGTTGGAGATGGGAACTGCAGGCAGCGGGGAGCTGTGTCGGTGAGCAGGAGTGGAGGGAGCTCAGTGCCTCACCACTCTGTGAAGCTGCCCATGGCCCCTGGGTCCCTGGTCCCCCCTCCATCCCCAAAGAGATGTGCAACAGAACATGAAAGAACCTGAATCCCAGACCTGGCTCAAGTGACGTCCTTGCTCCCCGGCTGGCCCAGCTCAGCCAGGGGTGTGACTCTTCCCTGCACTGGGCGGAGACCTCAGGGCTGCTCCCCACTCAGAGCTGGGCGCCCCTGGAGGCAGGAGAGTCCTCGAGTCACTGCCCAGCTGGGGCAGATTCTGTCCCTGACGCCATCGACCCCCCCAGGGCCGAGCTCTGCCCCTCACGCTCTGATTCTCTCTCCCCAGCCAACGTGACTCTGGATCCAGACACGGCGCATCCCCAGCTCATCCTGTCGGAGGATGGGAAACGTGTGCGATGGGAACAGACATGGCAGCTAATGCCCAACAACCCGGAGAGATTTAATTCTCACCGCTGTGTGCTGGGCCGTGAGGGATTCACCGCGGGGGGACATTACTGGGAGGTGGAGGTGGGGGATGGGAACTACTGGGCTGTGGGGGTGGCCAGAGAGTCTGTGAGCAGGAAGGGAGCGATCAATCTGGGCCCCCAGGCGGGGATCTGGGCTGTGGAGCGGAATTGGGATAAGTTCCAGGCTCTCACTGTCCCTTGTATCCCCCTGCCCCTGAGCCACCCCAGCAGGATCCGGGTCTGTCTGGACTGTGATGGGGGGCAGGTGACATTTATCGATGCTGGAACCGAAGCCCCGATCTTCACTTTCCCGCCGGGCTCCCTCCCCGCGGAGAGAATCCGACCCTGGATCCGGGTGAGTGACATAAAAACACTCCAGCTGTTTCCCTGACACCAGCCCCTCTGGCCTCACACACCCCAGTCTCTATAACCTTGGAGGACTCCCCTGTACCCAGCCCCTGGCTGCTCATCTCTAGGGTTCCTGAAAACTCCCCTCCCCGCTCCCCCCACCCCCCTCCGGAGCAGCAGCAGGAGCAGAGGAGGGGGCTGGGCAGGGACAGAACTAACAGCCGGGCTGGGGACAGGCAGAGGTGGGGGCTGGGCAGGGGACAGCGTTAACCCATCAGACTTGGGGGGAAGCTGGAGGCTCTGCAGCAGTAGGAGGCGATTTGCAGAGATCTGGGTCCCTTGGCACAGCCAGAGGGGAGGGGATAAAATTGGGACAAAGAATGGGACCAAATCAGAGGCCCATTCCCTGTCATCAGCCGGGCGGGGGACAGGCAGAGGTGGGGGCTGGGCAGGGGACAGCGTTAACCAATCAGAATTGGGGGGATGCTGGAAGCTCTGCAGCAGCAGGAGGCGATTTGCAGAGATCTGGGTCCCTTGGCACAGCCAGAGGGGAGGGGATAAAATTGGGACAAAGAATGGGACCAAATCAGAGGCCCATTCCCTGTCCCAATCTTTGTGGTCCCTAGGCACATTCCTGGGGGGAGGTTCTCTAGGCCCTGCCTGAGGTGTGTCACCCCCTTCCTAGCTCCTTGGTGCCAAGTTGACCCCTCAGAGTCCCATATACTGAAACCTCCCATCTCCCAGAGCTCCATGCCAGAGACTCTTTGTACAAGTCCCACCCCACAGTGCTCTGTCAGTTCACCAGACAAAGCACAAGACAGTTCAGATCAGGTTGCACAAAACAACCAACCCAACAGCTGTCCCTCACTCCCCCCCCCCTCCCGCCTTGAGGGTTCTGGGGGCCAACTGGGCTCAGGAAAGCAGGCAGCCCAGTTTCTGAAGCTGCTGCCTGCTGGGAACGTTGCTCTCCCCGGCAGAGCTGGAGACAAGGAGCAAGCTCCAGGTAGGGGCTGGGGTATTGCAACGCTGAACGGTGCTGCCTGTAATTGTAGCTGCCCAGAAAATCCCTGGCACGACGCTGTGAGCCCCCAAGTTTGAGTTACAGGGGGATGTAAGTGTCTGGGACAAGCCAGCAGGCCTGGCAGGGAGCTGTCTGAGCTAGCCAGTGGGAGGTGCTCACCAGAGGGGAATTGCATGAGGAATCCAGGCCCCTCTCATATCTCAGTGTGGGATAATGCTGGTTACTGAATCCGTGTATCTTGCAAACTGTTTAAATTGATACTAGGAACTTCCCAGAACTCAAGCTTGACTTCAGGTGTACGGAGCCTCCCTTTGTCAACTGTGCACCTGGAACCTTATCTGAAATGTTTCCTTTAATAAATGTTCTTTGTGTGATGTCACCATGGGTGCTCCACTGCTGGTGTCAGGTCATTCCAATGCCAGAGATTGGAGTTTTCATTAGCAGTAGTCGGCTGGACTGTGCACAGGGGCGGCCCGTCCATATAGGCAAACTAGGCAGTCACCAAGTTAAATGGGGCACCAAATGGTGGTGCAATATCATTGAGGGGTTTGGAAGTGGGGGCTCCGATTGCTGGTTCGCCGAGGGTGCCAGTTGCTTGCTGCTCATCTAGGGCTGCCCCTGACCATGCATGTACTGTGGGTACCTCACGCCGTTCATTCCCTTTTGCTCAGGCGCACAGTTTGCCTCCCACCAGGTCCTTCCTCACTGCCCTCGGTCGCAGACAGAGTGAGCTCCTCTCACTCAGGGGCTTCTTCTAGTCAGAGATAGGAATTTAGTTCTTAGTTTCTACGTAAGTGGTGTTTCTAGTTGTGTCCGTTAAATAGTTATAGTGGTAGTAGAATGTGGTAGTTGTGCTGTTTGAAAAAAAAAAAGCTGCTGGTTTTCAGCTGTTTGTACACCATAGTTAAGAAAGACAGGAAAGTTAAGACAACATAGAGAAGACTCTTCACAATGCCAAGCTCCCTGGACTTCAACAAGTGTGGCACCTGTCACGAGGCCATGACAGACATTCTGCCTGCATACAGTGGTGGGACAAGTTCCCCAAAAAGTTACTTGAATAAAAGTACTGCACTTGGAAAAAAACTAAGTAAAAGTCAAAGTATCCTTGTGGAAAACTACCTGAGTAAACGTACAAAAGTATCGCATCTTAATTGTACTCAAGTATCTAGAAATAAAAAGTAGCCGTCCTATGGAAATCTATGGTTAACCACCCGAGTTATCATAGGGCACCAGTATTTTTCATAGAGACACACACACATAGGCTGCGTCTAGACTGGCATGATTTTGCGGAAATACTTTTAGCGGAAAAGTTTTTCCGTTAAATGTATTTCCGCAAAAGCGCATCTAGATTGGCACGGATGCTTTTGTGCAAAAAGTGCTTTTGCACAAAAGCATCCGTGGCCAGTCTAGACGCGATTTTGCGCAAGAAAGCCCTGATCGCCATTTTAGCCATCGGGGCTTTTTTTGCACAAAACAGTTCTTCGTTGTCTACACTGGCTCTCTTGTGTAAGTATTCTTGCACAAGAGGGCTTTTTCCCGAGTGGGAGCGTGAAAGTATTTGCGCAAGAAGCACTGATTTTGTACATTACAAAGTCAGTGCTCTTGCACAAATTCAAGCAGCCAGTGTAGACAGCTGGCAAGCTTTTGCGCAAAAGCGCCTGCTTTTGCGCAAAATCTTGCCAGTCTAGACGCAGCCATAATGTGCATTTCTATATATGCATATATACGTCTGTGTGTGTGTGTGAAACAACAGCTGTTGATGAAGAAGATACTTCTGAAAAACTCTAGGGTGGTTTGGTTTTGTGTTTTGCAAATAGCTTATATCAGGGTGGGGAACCTTTTTTGGGTTGGTAGCCACTGACCTACAGAAAAATCAGTTGGGGCCACACGAGAGGCAACCCTCCAAAAACAAACCAACAAAACCCCCTCCCTGATGTGACCCTGAAATCTGGCCAGTGGAGAGTGGGGAAACTCTCCCACGAGCAGTTTCCAGCACCACATTCCCCCAGCACCATGCTGTGCTTCTCCCCTCCCCCTCAACACTGGACCCAGCCCATGAGGCTTGAGGTTCCCGATTCCTACCTGCGGGGCTGGTCTTAGGGAAAATGGCACCCTGGGCAAACTTGCATTTTGGCTCCTGGCCCTCCCTATCCTGGGCATGGTGCCCCCCATTTGCCTTGGACACTGCTCAGTCCCTTGCTCCCCTGAGTACAGGACTACTGTCTCTCCCCCTGCAACGGGAGCTGTCATAGAGCTCCTTGGCCAAGCCCTTCCTCCAAGAGCTACATGGGGAATGGATTATTTTAGCTCAAATCAGGGGTGACATAGAGCTCCTTGGCCAAGCCCTTCCTCCAAGAGCTATGTGGGGAATGGATTATTATAGCTCAAATCGGGTGGGGAATCTAAGGCCCGGGGCCAGATGGGCTCCCGGCTTGCCTGCATTTGGCCCCCGAGGCTCAGGGCTTCTCCCCAGCACTGGGAAGCCTGGGCAGATGCTCCAACATCCTGCCATGCCCCCATGGGGCTGGAGCACACAAAACCTGCTAGCCTGGAATCCCCAGGGCTCTAGTGTGCGAGGGGAACGTCAGTCTTCCTCCCAGCGGGGGCCATGTCAGTCAGGGATCTGTTTGGGGGCTTTTTGCTTTTCACTTGTGTGTGGCCCCGACTGATTTTTCCGTGGGTCAGTGGCCCCTGCCCCAAGGAAGATTCCACACCCGAGATCGGACACACAGAAGGCGGCTGCTGGTTTTGAATGGCACCAGATTGTGAAATGAAACCGAGGGTAAAAACACCCTTCAGTGGGCTCTTCCGCCACAGTTCCAGCTGCTCTGGAGAGGCCCCGGCAGCTCCCTCGCTGCAGGGCACCTGCCCTTTATGCCTGGTGTTTGGCCTGCAGCTCCAGGCTGTCGGATGGGCGCTGCATCCTTCCCAGGGCCCTCCTGCAGCCCCTCCTGACTCCCCCTGCCTGTGACAGGGAGGCCATCGAGAGATCCCTCGTCTTCCCATTTCTAGCAGAGGGGAGCACGGGCCGCTGGCTGCGTGGTGGGCAGAGCAGGGGGAAATCTCCCTGAAACCCCAGTACGGGAACTGGGCAGTGAGGCTGCACCTGACCCAGAGGAAGGGCTGGGCCTGCCCTCTGTGCCAGACGTCCCTGACTCCCCCTGCCTGTGACAGGGAGGCCATCGAGAGATCCCTCGTCTTCCCATTTCTAGCAGAGGGGAGCACGGGCCGCTGGCTGCGTGGTGGGCAGAGCAGGGGGAAATCTCCCTGAAACCCCAGTACGGGAACTGGGCAGTGAGGCTGCACCTGACCCAGAGGAAGGGCTGGGCCTGCCCTCTGTGCCAGACGTCCGAGGGGGG